TGCATGAAAACACTACAGAAGAATACATATGTTTCAAAATGAGGTCATCTAACCCAGAACAGCTTAGCTTTTAACAATTACCATGAGCTTTAAAATGTTCGAGAGGTCCACCCAATGATAGCTACGCAGAAAATAACTCGTAGAGCAGGTATAATATCATTTTTCATCTTTATAGTACCAACAAATTCTATGCAAAAACTGCGATTTCATTGATAGGAGAAAAACACCATTCCATCCCAAGTTTGGAATGAACGGGTATAATGAACACAATCAATTTTTAAATTTCAAAACATTTTCCAATGCAAAAAAATACCAAATCTTAAGTTTCCATAAAATCTCCACTGTGAACAATGGGAATACAATTTTGAGTATCCACTGTAGTTACAAAACTAGAGACTTAGAACAATATCAACAGCGCACTAAAGGCTCATCACAACATCAAGAAAACACGACTCATTGCACGGGAACAATATCTCATCATCTAACAAAGTCAAACCCTTAATCATCGAGAAAACATTCTTTTTTTTTTTTTTTTTCATTTTGCCTTCACTTTTTCAAGATATAAGAACATATCCAAGAGCCTCTGTAAATACAAAATGCTCTTTATTTTAAAGAGCTAATGCTTAAAAGTAATCTCCAAGAGACTCTATTTTAACTTTTTAAATTGATTTGCCATTGACATATGAAAAATTATGTTAAATACAATATGAAAAGAAATCAATAAATATTCTTGAGAAAAGCAAAATGAAGAGCCAAAAGAGAGAACATTGTTGTGGTGCATAAAATTTTTTACTCTCTGAATCTATATATGTTCTCTATGATGCATAAGACGCTCTTTATAAATAGTGTCTTGGGGATGCTCTAAGTACGTAGGAAACAATTGCTTAATCCCCTCCGCTTCCAAATGTCATAAATCATTCTCTCACATTATTAACACCAGAAACAATATGATTGTAAATGTATATGTCTATATGTATGTATGTATGTATGTATGTATTTATGTATGTATCTATGTATGTATGTAAGCATAACACAAGCAGCATAGAGAGAGAAGATTGAGAAGCCACCAGCATCAATAACAGCGTCCCAATCCGTCTTCCCATCTTTTGCAAACTGCTTCAAGTCCCAAGTTCCTCCAACCCATCTGGGGTCCTGAAATTTATTCTCAGTCTCCACCACCTCAGCCTTCGCCGGCTCCGGAGCTTCAGCGAGCGGCGGAGACCCATTAGAACCCAGATTATCCCCAGCACTTAAAGGACTTTCAGAGGGTATCCCATCCTCCACTGTAATCGCAGCAGCTACTCCAGACCCCTCGTCTGCACTGGAAAAAACGGGTACCAAATACTGAAGCTTTTTGGAGGGTCTCAGAGAAAAATCAGGCTTGTAGAATAACTGGGTTTTCGGAGGAGAGTGAGTTGGGAGGTGAGTAGAAGGAGCCAATGAAAACGTCGCTATTGACATTGTTGAAATTGCTATGTCGTGAAAGGAAAAGGGAAAGTGAAGAGCCTAGTTCAGTTCAGAGCATAGTGATCTTTTGGGCTATCTTCAACCGCACAATTGGAAGGGACACTGAGTATAACTGCCTTTGTAATTAACTTTGTATCCCTTATGTTTATGTAAAGTTACGTCTGGACCTCTTGGTGTTTGAGAATATATAGAAATACCCCATTTGTCCAAATTTTTTATACAATTTATCTAAAATAAGACCGAGTTAAAGGGTGAAATTTCGAGGGTTCTTCGTGCAGTTATGTTAACTACATAAACACGTTTACATCGGATAACTTCAAGATTCAATTCGAAAAAGAAGATTGATCACATTAATTGAGCTTTATTGTGTAACGTGAATTAGATCTCGACCGATATTCTATGTACGCATAGAACCACCAAAACATGGGTCGAGCTTGGCCAACACAAGGGTATATTGATCGGCCAGGAGATTAAAACCCTGTCTGGTAGAAATTATGGATGTCAAAAAATGGATTATTTGCCCGTTGGATATCAACATCAGCCGTCATTGTTGACTGGCCATCTCTATGGTGGGACCCACGGTTTGGGTTCAACGGCTCCATTTTCACTAATAATCCAATGAAGAATCACAGGCAGACATGCCCTAAATAATATTTTTAAGTTTGAAAGATGGTTTCATAACCAGTTCAAAATCAATTCAGATAATTGTGTATCAAGCATTAATAATTTGCCTTAGTCAAAACTATGTTCCCGTTTGGCTCTCGTTAAATTAAATTTCATCTCTTTTTCTATTTTCAATCAGACAATCATTCATAAAATAATATTGTACGTAAATCGAAAACTTTTTTTTTTCGACCACTCATTTTCAAAAAAAAAAAAATTATATTATTCCACCCATTTTAATTTGAAAAAATAAGGACCAAACGGGTGCCATATAACGAACTTGAATTAAATACAATACTTTCTCATCTAGTCATGTAAGCCATTGGCCGAACAGGGACCTACGAGTCTAGATACCCACTTTCTGGCCACACCAGACTGCCTAAAACTTTTTTCTCGAATGGGTAATAATGCTTCATACATTTGCATATTTATATCTCGAAAACTTGAAAGATCCAATGTTACACTACATTATTCGAAAAGGCAGGGTAAACCATGTTGAGCAGCGTAATGAAAGGAAAAGTTGGGAAAAAAGGTAGAAACAATGCAACAAAACCTGCAATATTACATAAAAAGTGGTTAACTGTACAAATAGCATTACAGATGATGCTTGCATCTCTCAAGCTACCCGTACAACGGATCTTGCTATATATACATCAAGATTTATATAATAAATTACATAATGTCACATGACACTCGACTATTGGTCATTTTAAAATACAATCAACTTTTTCATTCAATCTTTTCCATCCACATCATATTATTTAATCCATAATGTACATTTTTATGTACAAATAAAAAATTTCAATATAATTTACTTGTATAGGTAGCACGGTCCAAAGTAGAAGCAGTGTTTAGATTACAACACACTAGTCTTCAATCTTTGAATCCTCAGGGGCACAGGGTTTTCTAAAACAGACACGTTAATGTTGTTCCAAACATCTGATTTTGTAGGAAGTTGAGCAATTTTCTCAGCTATCATCAAGTCTTCGGGAAGTACAAAACCAAATACCGTATACGAATTTTTCCATTCTTCGTGATTTGCCAAGCTTATGAAGAATTCAGGACCTGAGCCAACCCATGCTACCGACCCTCTTCTTATGGTTGGACAGTACTCAGACGGGATTTTATTGAAGATCATTCCTTGGGCTTCCAGAATTCCTTGAACAATAGCAAATGGTGGACCGAAAGAAGCCTGATAAGATAAAAGAGGCCATCGGTTGGAGATCTAATACGTGTAATTTGACGAAAAAGATGAAAATAAAACAGGAGGGACGGAACATGAGAATCTGTATGGACATATTAATTCCAGTCACTAGTTGAGGATTTTGTATCATAATATAAAATGTATACGCAAGGGTGGTAAAATCTGCACCCACATATGTATTCAAACAACACTCAAAAAATAAATAGAAGACTGCAACTTGTATCAGACATTAACAGTTACTTGTATAGAGAATACTATTTTTCTTTTTTTCTTTTTTCTTTTTTTTTTTATTTAGAGAAAAATTTTGGGGCGTTCAGCTTTGAAACATAAAACAAGAATGCAAACGAAAACATAGAAACAAGAAATAAGGTAAATAAATCTTTAACCAAAAACGTAAAAAAGAAGATGAATAAAAAGAATAAAGTGTAATATCTAGGTTCTTCACACGCTTTTAGTTCCCTCTAAAGTAGTCTAATACTATAAAATTCATGGATTCCTATGTCTATGCCATTCATATGCAAGCACATAGTGCATATGTGCTAAACTTAAAAAATTTACTTATAAGCAAGATGATTAGGTTTTAAAATAAAAAAAAAAAAAAAATTGATGGTCAAAGTTGGAATAAAGAAAGAGCTTATTTGAATGTAACCCCTTCCTTGATATCAAAACTAGTAACATTTTTACTTCAATTATGAATCGTAGTATATAAAGGCACTAAATGACTCCAACAAATGAAACATAATCATCAGGCAAGTGATATAAATCAAAATGATTAATTAACCGAACAAACTCCTAAAATCCAGTCAAGACTACATGTGCATATACAATGATCAGGGATGCACGAGACGAATAAAAAAGTTCAATTCTTACATCTTTAATGTGTTTTCCTTGTGCATCCCAAGATTGACCCCGGCTTTCTGCACGATAGAAATGGCAACCTGCACAATGGCGTAATGCCAACAACTCTAGGATGTATTTAACTGAAAGTGGAGAACAATCGGGCAAAAGCTGCACAAAGATTACGCAGTTCATCAGTGAAAAAATAGTCCATAATAAATACATCAGCATTCCAATTGACATCCAAAAGAACTCTGCCCATTTTCTCCCTCTCTACTTCACTTTATGGCATGTTTGCTAAGGTTGATTGGATAGTACTTCTAAAATCTAGTCAATTATATCGTTGGTCATGTCCAGTACACACCAAACATACTCTTACTGTACGAAACTTCACTATTTCTTCCTCTATCTTTCGAGGTTCTTCTTCTCTCACTCAACTCTTCCTTTTTCTTCACTGGTGTTTTATTGAGAACACATTTTGCTTCTGATGATCAATAGATTTGTTGTCGGAACTTGAGAACCTTTCAGGAATATTTCGCAACAGATTTCTCATTTCTTATAGATATTAGTTCTGGAAAGTAAATTCAGTCATTTTCTAACCTGTTGATCAAAACAATGCTTTGGATAAAATAATATGAAAATAGTTTCTATTGCAGTTTCCAGTGTCATTTTATTTGAAAGAGTGTTAGAAGCATGATTATGATGTACATTGTTTAGTTCATCTATTCACATATATATTTTTGGTATGTCAGACAACAGAAAATCGTCTCAGAAAATGCAGTCGAAAATGTTTTTATGATCAAGAAAATGTAATGTGTTGACATGTTTCTTGAGTCACAGTTGTCAACCTTTTTCGGCACACCCTCAAGCAGTTTCCTTGCATTACTCTATAATATAATTCGTTATTTATCAGTTAGTAACAAATTTATGAATTATGACAGTTTTTTTACCACTCATTTGATGCAAAAAACAATAAAGGCCGAAATAGAAAACTAGTTACATATAGTTCGGCAATCTCTCTATGCAGCATGCTTACATAAATGCTGTTAATTTGTCTTCACGTGCAGGTTTATAATTACTCTTACATATAGCTACAAAACTATAAAACTTATTAGAGATTACCATAATAATCATTTAATTTTTTACTTTTATCGTTGCTCTAAATATCCCTACACATAAAGACAAGATTATAAAGGTTATTGGAAATTGCAACGGCAGCCACTGGAAACTTTCTTTGAGGGACGTGACCCAGATGTACAAGAAACCACTCCATGATTATCAATGATATGAATCTGCTCAGGTAACCATATATGTCTTTCTAATCATTCGACCGTGAAAGTTACTTTAAGACCTGTTCAACTAACTCAGAGGATAAGAATGTATACCTTGATGTGAAGTGTACCGTGTTCCGTCTCTAATCCAATAATACCCTTAAACAAGAAAAGAGAAAATGAGAAGTTAATTCATGAGGAAAACTTACATAATCCGCAAGAGGCCAGCATCATAAAAGACTAAACTTTTGATGGTTTATAAGGAAAATATCAAAAGCAGAAGAGTGCGAGGAGAGGAAGAGAGAGTAACAATCAAAAGAATGCAGCAACTATTAATACAGAGACAGATATGAGCATAGTCTAAAACCAAACAATGACTGCCAGTCTAATTATAATAAAAGCAAATGCTACGCCGTGCCAAAGTTCTTCTCTGTATAAGTAAAAGTGATACAAATAATTAATGGTTGCATCTTAGAAAATGGTAAGAAAAAGAATCACGAAAATTCAGTGTTATATACCTCTCCTCTTCCAAAGACAAGACCAGAAGTCCACATGACTTTGTCTCCTGCTTCCTGCTTTTCAGGGGCCAGTAAATCCTTCTGTTTTTTCAACCAACACTTAAAAAAAGAAAAAGAGACAGATATGAGCATAGTCTAAAACCAAACAATGACTGCCAGTCTAATTATAATAAAAGCAAATGCTACGCCGTGCCAAAGTTCTTCTCTGTATAAGTAAAAGTGATACAAATAATTAATGGTTGCATCTTAGAAAATGGTAAGAAAAAGAATCACGAAAATTCAGTGTTATATACCTCTCCTCTTCCAAAGACAAGACCAGAAGTCCACATGACTTTGTCTCCTGCTTCCTGCTTTTCAGGGGCCAGTAAATCCTTCTGTTTTTTCAACCAACACTTAAAAAAAAAAAAAAAAAAAAAAAAAAAGAGGGTTCTGTTAATGACAGAGTTAGTGATAGTGTTAATGATAATTTAAGGGTTCAATGATTAGGAGAAGATCAACGTCTACAAATTCTTACCACCACTATATTACTTCTACTACCATGTCCTTTGTACAAACATACAGGCAATAATGCACAAACATGTAAAAAATCTCATATTTCCTTGCTATGAGTTTGTTATTGGTAGGAAAGAAAAAGAAAGAAGGTATTATTAGCGCAGAGCTTTGAGCTCAATGCTAATTAATTTCAAATACATAACATTTCAGTCGGCTAATCAATCTTGCAGGGAAGGTCACGAGATTTCTACTAAACCAGCTTCTTGATTGTTCAAGTCAAAGAGAACTTGAATCTACTTCACGAGAGTAAGACCTCAAAGTCTTACACTAACTATCTACGTGTTTTGTTTTCAACTATAATTACTTTTGTTTTCTCATATAATTATAATTTCTTCAACACTAAATATATTATACATCATTTTTTTCCCAATTCTGCAACCAGCACGAACATGTAAAGAACATGAATCATTTGATACATAGCCATATCTATCATTTACCCATCAGGTACATAAAAGATTATAGACAGAAATTAAAGATAGATAAAAGAAATTTCAACCAACCTCACCGAATTTGTTCCCACAAGCCTGCTTATTGCCACAAAAAACCCAGGTATCACAAAGACAAGGCCCATCATTTCCAGTACACATGGCTTTACAAGCTTTACAACATTCATCAGACGAAGTGAATTTGAAATCCGTGCCCCATTTCACAGCAGGCCCCCAAAGCTCCAAATTCTCAATCCCTTTACAACACAACCCACCACCCTCTACGCCGTTAACCCACTTCTCACCATTTTCATAGGACTCGGCCAGTGCTAATGATTCAACATCTGAATCATTTCCTGGTGCTGATGGCTTAAAAACTGATGATACGAACATGTAGACCATAGAACAAGAGACCAAACCGATCAAAAGCAGGATCCAAGAGGCCCAACGAGTCGGCTCAGAGTCATTCGGTTTCCGACCCATTGGTTATATTTGAGATTTCTGAAGATTAAAGAGAAACAATCCCAAGAATTCAGAAATTATTTTCAATGATCTTGCGAATCTTTCACCTGGTCGCTTGAAGTATCGTTGACCTGAGAAATTGAGGAGAATTTGAAAATTGAGTGGTTTAAATAGTTAAACCGTAAAATCAAATTGTTGGTTCAAGTCCACTTGCATCCGTCAATAATTTGATTTTGAATCCAAGGTTTGGTTTAAGTTTCAATTTAATAAATCGTTTCAAACCCCTAAACAATTTATCAAAAAAATTTGAAAAAAAATAAACTTAAATGTTATCCGACTCAATTTAAAACTAAACACATCACAATTAAGAATATATATCCATATTAGACACAACCCAATTAAACTCAATACACAAAAAGATAATTATCCATTCCAATGAATTAATCAAATTGTTGCGTGTTGTCATACTTGGCCAATCCACCTGGGCCAATGGTCCACTCAGGCTGAACCACGTGGCACTCCAGTCGAGGTGGCATATATTGATTGTCGAGGTGGGCAATGGCCGAAGTTCTCTAGCCAAGGCGCCTTTTTACCGAGGTTTGTGGACGTAACCGAGGTCCATATGTCGAGGCCCATGAACCGAAGCCATGATGCTGGAGCTAGTTGAAGATAGCTGAAACCCTAAAGTGGAAGTATTGTGTGAAATGGCCGAAGTCCCGAAACTGATGTAGGAGCCTCCAAACCACAAGGGAGTGTCCTCCATGTTTGGAAACTTTCTTTGAGGGACGTGACCCAGATGTACAAGAAACCACTCCATGATTATCAATGATATGAATCTGCTCAGGTAACCATATATGTCTTTCTAATCATTCGACCGTGAAAGTTACTTTAAGACCTGTTCAACTAACTCAGAGGATAAGAATGTATACCTTGATGTGAAGTGTACCGTGTTCCGTCTCTAATCCAATAATACCCTTAAACAAGAAAAGAGAAAATGAGAAGTTAATTCATGAGGAAAACTTACATAATCCGCAAGAGGCCAGCATCATAAAAGACTAAACTTTTGATGGTTTATAAGGAAAATATCAAAAGCAGAAGAGTGCGAGGAGAGGAAGAGAGAGTAACAATCAAAAGAATGCAGCAACTATTAATACAGAGACAGATATGAGCATAGTCTAAAACCAAACAATGACTGCCAGTCTAATTATAATAAAAGCAAATGCTACGCCGTGCCAAAGTTCTTCTCTGTATAAGTAAAAGTGATACAAATAATTAATGGTTGCATCTTAGAAAATGGTAAGAAAAAGAATCACGAAAATTCAGTGTTATATACCTCTCCTCTTCCAAAGACAAGACCAGAAGTCCACATGACTTTGTCTCCTGCTTCCTGCTTTTCAGGGGCCAGTAAATCCTTCTGTTTTTTCAACCAACACTTAAAAAAAAAAAAAAAAAAAAAAAAAAAGAGGGTTCTGTTAATGACAGAGTTAGTGATAGTGTTAATGATAATTTAAGGGTTCAATGATTAGGAGAAGATCAACGTCTACAAATTCTTACCACCACTATATTACTTCTACTACCATGTCCTTTGTACAAACATACAGGCAATAATGCACAAACATGTAAAAAATCTCATATTTCCTTGCTATGAGTTTGTTATTGGTAGGAAAGAAAAAGAAAGAAGGTATTATTAGCGCAGAGCTTTGAGCTCAATGCTAATTAATTTCAAATACATAACATTTCAGTCGGCTAATCAATCTTGCAGGGAAGGTCACGAGATTTCTACTAAACCAGCTTCTTGATTGTTCAAGTCAAAGAGAACTTGAATCTACTTCACGAGAGTAAGACCTCAAAGTCTTACACTAACTATCTACGTGTTTTGTTTTCAACTATAATTACTTTTGTTTTCTCATATAATTATAATTTCTTCAACACTAAATATATTATACATCATTTTTTTCCCAATTCTGCAACCAGCACGAACATGTAAAGAACATGAATCATTTGATACATAGCCATATCTATCATTTACCCATCAGGTACATAAAAGATTATAGACAGAAATTAAAGATAGATAAAAGAAATTTCAACCAACCTCACCGAATTTGTTCCCACAAGCCTGCTTATTGCCACAAAAAACCCAGGTATCACAAAGACAAGGCCCATCATTTCCAGTACACATGGCTTTACAAGCTTTACAACATTCATCAGACGAAGTGAATTTGAAATCCGTGCCCCATTTCACAGCAGGCCCCCAAAGCTCCAAATTCTCAATCCCTTTACAACACAACCCACCACTCTCTACGCCGTTAACCCACTTCTCACCATTTTCATAGGACTCGGCCAGTGCTAATGATTCAACATCTGAATCATTTCCTGGTGCTGATGGCTTAAAAACTGATGATACGAACATGTAGACCATAGAACAAGAGACCAAACCGATCAAAAGCAGGATCCAAGAGGCCCAACGAGTCGGCTCAGAGTCATTCGGTTTCCGACCCATTGGTTATATTTGAGATTTCTGAAGATTAAAGAGAAACAATCCCAAGAATTCAGAAATTATTTTCAATGATCTTGCGAATCTTTCACCTGGTCGCTTGAAGTATCGTTGACCTGAGAAATTGAGGAGAATTTGAAAATTGAGTGGTTTAAATAGTTAAACCGTAAAATCAAATTGTTGGTTCAAGTCCACTTGCATCCGTCAATAATTTGATTTTGAATCCAAGGTTTGGTTTAAGTTTCAATTTAATAAATCGTTTCAAACCCCTAAACAATTTATCAAAAAAATTTGAAAAAAAATAAATTTAAATGTTATCCGACTCAATTTAAAACTAAACACATCACAATTAAGAATATATATCCATATTAGACACAACCCAATTAAACTCAATACACAAAAAGATAATTATCCATTCCAATGAATTAATCAAATTGTTGCGTGTTGTCATACTTGGCCAATCCACCTGGGCCAATGGTCCACTCAGGCTGAACCACGTGGCACTCCAGTCGAGGTGGCATATATTGATTGTCGAGGTGGGCAATGGCCGAAGTTCTCTAGCCAAGGCGCCTTTTTACCGAGGTTTGTGGACGTAACCGAGGTCCATATGTCGAGGCCCATGAACCGAAGCCATGATGCTGGAGCTAGTTGAAGATAGCTGAAACCCTAAAGTGGAAGTATTGTGTGAAATGGCCGAAGTCCCGAAACTGATGTAGGAGCCTCCAAACCACAAGGGAGTGTCCTCCATGTTCACTTCTCCCAAGAGATCGTCTGTATAAATATCTTATTCGAATGATTGATGGAACGTTTGTCATAAGCATAAAGGTCAAGTCTTGTCACTAGTATGGGGGCTCTGCACAAGCAATAAATGCGCTGCAAGTTAGCAAGTCAAACCTCATGTCTGATAAGATGTTTAAATCAAAGAGATGAGGCCACGTGCTACCTCATCCAAGGGCTCCCATTTCACATGTACCACTATAAACACTTCCCTTGTGTAACATCAAAAAGCTAATGCAAGTATCAATACAAAGAACTACACTTTACTCAACTCTCTCTCATTTACTTGCAATACACAAATCGAGTTTATACACATTTACATATACATTTACGAACACCGGTTGGTAATTATTGTCCTATCGGATCACGAACAACCCCCCGGATTTCGAATGTCACCGTCTCGCGTCGTTGGGCTACTCCCTCGCCCTTTGAACTGCTCGTTTTAGACCGTCCACGTGTCTTAACATGTTGGACATTCGCCCACTTGTGCGCGGGTGGGACCGGCATATGTTGGCAACACTTTTTGGGGTCAACAGATTGACGCCGTTTGTGGGAAACCATACCATAACCACGAGCAACCTTGTGGTAAAAGCTTACTGAAAAGACGTTTGAGCGACCCCCCTTGAAAAATGATTTATTCCTGAAAAAGAATAGGAAGAAACCCCATTACTTTGCGAAATCTGAAGTCTGACAAAAGAACATGAGTTCCAATGAAGATACTCCCCCCAGGAGGGTAAGGGAAAACACGAACGTGCCTCCTCAGCCCGCTGCCGTTGCAGCTCGGCAGAGACTCCACCACCACCAAAGAAGAGGTGGGATGCGTGCGACGGTATGACTATTAAGAGAAATGGCCATCATGGCAGCCAACATGAGGGATATTGCTAGCCAAAACTTGGCTATGAGGGAGCTTATGGCCCAAATGCAGGGCCAGTGAGGCTTCCCCATTCCTCCATACACCCCCAAGGGCACTACCAGCAAGATGATGAAGTTCAAAGTCATAGAACTGTCTCGCCAGACTATGGCCGAGGTGGAAGCCCACTTGAAAGGGAAGTGGAAGTTGATATTTATTCCAACTATGCTTCTGGTCGACCCACCTAGGTCTAAATGAGCCATGATAATTTCCCGCCTCCGTATGAGCAAGATCCAAGACATAGGAGGGTAGGAAGTGTTTTTGACAGAATCAGCCCCGCCGAACCAAGGCTCAGGCAACAGCAGGCTCAACAGCCATGTACAAGGCCACCTCCTCCACCTCCAATGCCCCAACAGGCAGAGAGAAGGCATGAAAATGCCCCCCGTGTTGCTCTGCCTAGAAATAGGCAGCAGAGGAGGGAGGAAGAGGCTAGGGATCGCCCCGGGACCTCTCACCAAAAACCAGGGCATGAGGCTGATGAGTACAACTCTGATGAACAGCAGAGGTCTTGCGACTTGGACGATGATGATGAGAATCTACCATTCTCAAGGGAACTAAGGAATGCCCAGGTTCCGAGCCACTATGTTATGCCAAAAATACCAAAGTATGACGGAAGAGGCGACTCGGAGAAGCACCTGAATGCTTATAAAACTCACATGAGCCTAAGGGGCGCCACCCCAGCTGTGAAGTGCAGAGCCTTCCATTTAACGCTTAGTGGAGCGGCTGAAATTTGGTATAGCAGATTGCCACCTAGGAGCATTAGAAGCTGGCCCGAGTTCAAGATAACATTCTTGAAAAGGTTTGCGGTGAGCAAAGAAGGAGAGGCCCCCATCCAACGTCTCCAGGACACGAGGCAAGCACATGGGGAGTCCCTAAAGAGCTTCTTATCACGCTTCACCGATGAGATGACGTACTGCATACAAGTCACTGACCGAGAGGCACTATCCGCATTGAGGGGAGGTCTGGACATGAATACCTTATTCTGGAGAGACGTGCAGAATCAAGACCCCACCACCTATGACGTTCTACTCGAAATGATGAGAAGAGAGATCATCAATGAAGAATTGCACTTTGAATGCGGTTCCCACCTTGGCATATGAAGATGTCAACCCAATTACTGACCCTCATTAGATGGAGGCCCAGGAGATACCCCGTTGGGGAAAAGGCTGAGGTCAAGGTTCTGGACCTAGAAATAGGTCAAATCCGAACCCTCCAGGATACTGTGTGTACCACATGTCCTACGGGCATGACACAGCGGATTGTAGAGACTATGCACAACGTTCCCGGTAGGAACCCGCTAGAGACAGACATGATTCACCCCAGGCGAATAGGCCCCCGCCCAGGCACGACAATCAATGTGGGCGTGAGGAGGCCGCTCCCCGTCAAAGGGATGTATCCCCACGACGAAGGGAGCATGATGCAGAGAGGCCCAGGGAAGGGCGTAGGCACCGAAGAAACCGACAAGCTTGAGATGAAGCCCCTATCCATGAGGTGGATACCATATTTGGAGGTCCGTATGTTGGCGGTGAAACACGAAATGCCAAAAGGAATTATGCTCGGGAGGCTAAACACCACCCTTTGACAAGGTACATTGTGGGTAGCAGCTCCCGAAGAAACCAGGTTTCACCTATTGTCTTTACCCAGGAAGAAGCCGAGGGAGTTCATTACCCCCATTGCGATGCACTTGTGGTGAGGGTTGTCATAGCCCGGAATGGGCTCAAACGAATGTTAGTTGACAACGGCAGCTCCATCAACATTCTATTCGGATCCGCCTTTGACAAGATGATATTGGATCATCAGCTGACGCCCACCACCACTCCATTGTATGGATTTACCAGAAATAGCATCACTCCGAGGGAAAAGATAACACTTGCAGTGGAGATGGGAGAATTCCCACGAACAACGATGAACTTCATGAAGTTCCTCATTGTCGACAGTCGGTCGGCTTACCATGGAGTTTTGGGCAGGCCAGCCCTAAAGGAATTGGGAGCAGTCACCTCCATCCACCACCTACGCATGAAATTCCCTACAAAAAATGGGGTGACAACGGTGAGAGGTGACTAAAGAGGCTCGAGAGAGTGCTATCTAAGCTCCATCAAGAAGGTAGAGCCCCGAGACGTCCATGTAATCATAGCTGATGTGGTCATGACTGATGTCCTAGGTGATGCTCCCACCGAACAAGAAGATGTTGATATGATCGACGCACCACCTAATCCAGAGTTGCTGGTCATTGATGAGATTAACCCTCGCATAATAGAACACGAGCCTCAAGCATCCCCAGTAGAGAAACTTGAGAGCTTCTCGGTAGACCCCCGAGACCCATCAAAGGTGCTGAAGGTAGGCAACTGCCTATCCAACATTCTGAAGGAAAAGATTAAGGATTTCCTGAGCAAGAATTTTGATGTCTTTGCCTGGAAGCATGAGAACATGGTAGGCATAGACCCCAAGGTCAGCTGCCACCACCTGAAAATCGATCCTAAGGTTGCCCCGCATAGATAAAAAATGAGAGCCCTCAATTCTGAGAGGTATGAGGCCCTAAAGGAAAAAGTTCAGAAGCTCATCCAAAATGGCTTCATCAGGGAGGCAACCTACCCAAAGTGGGTCTCCAACCCGGTTTTAGTAAAGAAACACAACAACAAGTGGAGGGTGTGCATCAACTTCACCAACCTCAATAGAGCTTGCCCGAAAGACAACTTTCCACTCCCAAGGATTGACCAACTAGTAGACTCCATGGCTGGGCACGAGTTGTTGAGTTTCATGGATGCGTACTCCGGCTACAACCAAATCCCCACGCACCTGACTGATGAAGAGCACACCTCTTTCATCATGGACCGAGGCCTCTATTGTTATAGAATGATGCCCTTCGGGTTGAAAAACACCGGAGCAACCTACCAAAGACTCGTAAACAAGATGTTTATGGACCTCATTGACAAAACAATGGAGGTCTACGTAGACGACATGCTAGTAAAAAGTTTGGAGGCTGAGGACCACATGACGCACCTCAACAACACTTTCCAAATCCTAAGAAGGTATAGGATGAGACTCAACCCCCTCAAGTGCGCCTTTGGGGTAGCCTTCGGCAAATTCTTGGGGTACATGGTCAACCAATGAGGAATTGAGGTCAACCCTGATAAGATTGAGGCTCTATGCAAGATGAGGTCCCCCCAAAAGCCAAAGAAGGTGCAAAGTCTTACCGGGCGAGTGGCCGCACTTAGCTGCTTCGTTTCCAAAGCTACAGACAAATACCTCCCATTTTTCAAAGTACCGAAGTCTGGGAAGAAATTCCAGTGGACTGAGTAATGTGAAGAGGCCTTCCAATGCTTGAAAAGGCACCTGGGACAGGCCCCCCTCCTCTCCAAATCGAAGCCCGGTGATATCCTACAACTATATTTGGCCGTCTCCAATGAGGCCATCAGCTCGATTTTGATACGGAAAGAAGGGTCTACCCAACTCCCCGTATACTACACAAGTAAA